CAGGCAGTTGAAAACCGAAAAACCGAGGAACCATGAGTGTACCAAGGAACTCATATAAACTAAACAAATTTGAAAAAAAAATGGAAAACAAGTTGGGTAAACAGAAGTGACCAACTTAAATTTTTTGACGTAGGTACTCCGAGTAAAGACGCGATACCTCCTTTTTTAAGAACGTCCGATACGCACAATAAAATTGAAAGTTAATGCTATCACAGTACATCGAAAGCAATCTGACCAATGCGGGAATGGCAGCCGTGCGAACCGATCCCATCTTTGATTACAATTGGGGATTAACTACTACTGCGAGAGCAGTAGTATTTTCATTTATCAATAAAATATTATCGCTACAGTTACTCTGTAGAAACCATTGGCCGACAGGATAGTAAAGATCAGTCAAAGTGCGTCGATCGTGGCCAGCGCCGCCACCACCACCACTGCTTTGAATAACAGAGCTGACAGCGCTTGCGTCCGGCCAATACTGACAGAGAATTTGGCTGTTATGAGCTAAGGACGTGAAAAGGCGTAAAGTATTCAATCAGCGGTGGCTGAAGGTCGTTAGGCCAGTAAACAGGCGCTAGAGCGCTTCAAATGTAGAAATACGCCCTCGTCATAAACGCAGCAGATTATTTGGTAACAACGTCCTCTAGATAGAAGAACCCTTGTGGAGGAAAGATGCGTAGCCTTGTGATTTTACAGGAGCGTCTTGAAAAGTGGAAACACACAAAATCTGACAAAGACAAGAATAGGGTAGAGGCCGTAGAGGACCAGCGGACAAAATTGCTCAAAGATCTCCAAAAAAGAAGACGCTGTACGAGACAAAGAGTTTGAGGGACTAAGACTCCTGGGTACTACGACAACCAGAATATACGGTCTTCAAAAATTCACAAACAAGGGCTAACGCTTCGTTCAAGCTTGGATATAAGAAATTCGCCCTACCACGCCATTGCAAAATGGCTGGTAGAAAAGTTAAAGTCCCTTTAACGTTGTCTGCTTCTTCGAAGTTTGAAAGACGCCTTTGAATTTGTTGAGGCTATCAAAACTACTAATACCGACGGAGGGAAGATGCTGTCATTCGATGTATCCCACTGTTTATCAACGTACGCATAATAGAAGGTATACATCAACTGTGACTTGATAGAGGATACAAACTACCAGTTGGAGATGGCAGTGAAGAACCTAAAAGTACTACCGACGCGATGTATACAAAATGTCCAGGTTCTCTACAATGGTCAGTTATACAAGCAAATAGACGAAGTAGCGATGGGCACGCCACTTGGACCATTCCTCGCAAACGTCTTCATGGGCAAGGCTAAGAAAACAAGTCTCAGTGATAATAAAAATGACCTAGATTTCCATACCCGGTACGTAGACGACATATTTTGCCCGACAAATAGTACCGAGGAGATCGATGGCCCAGTTCGAAAACTTAACAAGACCTACCCATCACTAAAGTTTGCTGCATAAACGGGGGCGAACAACCAAATCGCCTCCCTCGATGCCCTTCTACACAGACAAGATATCGATCGTGAGAACTTCGAACCTGTCGTGTAGTCCGGCTTAATCTGCAACCCCCTACAATGAGACCGCATGCTCGCAGGAAATCTCAAGTGTCCTACAGAATCACCACGTGAAGATGAGAAATTGGGCAAGCTCATATTCCCATCTGTTATGCTTGTTGCTTATTACTCAGCTACTGAGATGGTTATAGGAAATAGCGATATTAGTTGATTAGGGAGCAGATTGCCCGCCCTACCAGCGCAAAAGGCTACTGTAGCACTATGTAAGTCAAAATTTGGCCTGAAAACGGCAAGTAGCATCCTGTGACATAAAGGCATGACAGAACCCGCGATATTATTCAATAACGTCTCGGTAACCAATAAGATGACACAGAGTGATGGATTGAGTTGAGTGGGCGAAGACCAATGTAAGCCCTAATGGGCTAGTATCACCATTATCATTAATACTACCAGCATCACTGATATTGCCCTATTCCTGTTGCACTGATTTAGACCGTCCTAATGTATCTACCTGATACTGTATTGTCGTACTGCTGTGCTTTAGAGTAGTGCTTGTAGTGTGCTCTCACCTTACTGTATTCATCATTCCCACTGTCAGTTAAATAGAAATAACACTGCCACTACCAGTATCTAGCCGTATAAAGACCTAGAAGTTGAAGCACGAGTCGTAGCAGTAACAATGTGAAGCTATTATACAAAACTGATAAAAAAAATTGGATGCATGTCATATTTCTGAATTATCAATACTGTTACAGGAATTTATTCATACTGGACACAAACAAGAGGATGATTCTTTGTAACGCAGGATATCCAGAAAAAAAACCTGGACGGGACAAAACAAATAATTTTCACAATTTGTGTCCCTTAATCCCAAAAGATATTTGGCCCATGGATTGAGGCCCCGGGGTGCAACGCGTCTGCTGGCCTGAAATGGCTGAATCAGAGCGCCAGCGGCTACAGAACACACTACGCGGAAGTGGCTATTCAGAGAGATTCGTTCTCTGGAAAATTAGGCAGCGTGCCACAGAGCCCGCCGTTGCGACTGTCTTTTCTCTAGGAGCGCCTCAAAAAGTGTCAGATGGGATCTTTGACTGCCATCATCTTCTACACTGCACACAGTGGCGGAGCCGTACTAATGAGCATCTTCTCCGACTGCCGGTTTAACTCGGCAGCACTGTGGGAATTGGAGTGGGTGACGCGATGAGAACAGACTTTAATACGATCCCACGCCATCTTCTTGTTAATAAAACTTCTGCATGCGGCTGTCCTGGCTGGACTGTCTCTTAGCTTG